CAACAATAGCTGGTGGTGAAAAGTTTACCAAACTCGATCTGAGTCATGCATATTCGCAGATAGAGCTCGATGAACCTTCGAGGAAACTTACTACCATCACCACGCACATGGGACTATTTCAATATACTCGTTTACCTTTTGGCATTAATTCCGCCCCCGGAATATTTCAGAGAATTATTGACGACTTAGTGAAGGACATTCATTTTGCGTGTGCTTATCTGGATGATATTCTTATCTCTGGACGCTCGGATACAGAGCATCTTCGAACACTCGCGGTCGTGCTCGAGCGTTTGGAGCGAAGTGGATTCAGATTGAAAAGGTCTAAATGTGAGTTCCTTTCACCGTCCGTTTGTTACCTTGGATACCGGCTTGATAAACACGGTTTACATGTTTTAAATGACAAGGTTAAACCTATTTTAGAAAGCCCAGTGCCAAAGAGTTGTGATGAACTCCGTTCGTTCTTAGGAATGCTATCTCACTATCGCCGTTTCCTGCCTAATGCATCGACGGTTCTATCGCCATTAAATGAGCTGTTACACAAAAATGCATCGTGGTGTTGGGGTTCCCGTCAAAAAAATGCCTTCAATAAAGCAAAACAAGCTCTTGCTTCGCCACCAACGTTAGTCCATTATGACTCTAACAAGCCACTCATACTTCAGTGCGACGCGTCCCCTTGGGGGGTCGGGGCTGTCCTGTGCCACCGCATGGACGATGGTTCTTTACGTCCCATAGCATATGCATCGCGCACCTTACAGACGGCGGAGAAGAACTACTCACAACTGGACAGGGAAGCGCTAGCCGTTATCTTCGGAGTTAAGAGGTTTCACCAGTATTTATGGGGAAACGTTTTCGAGCTCCATACAGACCACAAACCATTGATATCCTTGTTTGGGGAAACCAAAGGTATACAACAAATGGCATCACCGAGGATGCAAAGATGGGCTATAACCTTGAGTGCTTACAGTTACAAGATTGTTTATATTACCGGCGTCAGCAACTGCACAGCTGATGCACTCAGCCGTCTGCCGATCACGGAAATTGCACATGAACACGACCCTCCGTTTGAACTGGTTAATCTAATGCAACATCTAGACACAACACCGATACGGAGTTCAACAATCCGTCAATGGACGGATTGAGACCCCGTGCTATCAATGGTGAAAGGCTTTTTAAACATGGGTCGGCCACCTGAAGGGACAGTTGAATTACAACCGTTTATGATTCGGAAGAACGAACTGATTCTATTCGACGGCTGTGTTTTTTGGGGCTCTCGTCTAGTCCCTCCCACCAAGGCGCGTTCACAGATACTTAAAGAGCTCCATGATGCTCATCCAGGTGTGGCGAGGATGAAGGCACTAGCGAGAGGGTACTGCTGGTGGCCCAACATCGACTCAGACTTCCTTGAACTGACTCTCCAAGTGCCTTTGCACCAGTTCGTTGCCTTTCCCACTAGATATATGGACAACCAAATACCATCTACTTTGGATTTGGTTTCCGCTAAGTCCCTGGACTTCGTGACTGACGTTTCACACGGTGCACCTCTAGGGTCAGCGGTCACGCATGCATATCCTTTCGATGCACCAAGAGACCGCTGTTGAATTACTTCCGAATATTTGGCGGGCGGACTTTAGTGCAATGCGAACTAAGGCTTCAGTTCTGAACTGTGAGATCTCGATGGCTGATTCTGTCCAGTTAGCCTGGGATAAATTTAAGGCATACCTTACGGAGGTTTCCACTCCCTATATTCCACTCATTAGGAAAAGACGGTTAAGGGCACAGCCTCCATGGATAGATACCACAGGCAAGTACCTACTCAAGAAACGGTCTAGATGCTGGCGAACCTACCAAGCAGCTCCATCAGCCAGCACCTATGATAGTTATCGAGAGATTAGAAATAAATGTAAGCAACATCTCAGAACTGCTCGTCTCCAATACGAACAGGGTTTAGCGGACTCGGCCGCAGATAATCCCAAGAAGTTTTTTGCTTACGTTAAAAGACGCAGCAGGGCAAAACTGTCTATACCAGCTTTATTGCGAGCAGACGGGACCCGTTCGCAAACTGACTACGACAAGGCTTGTATACTGAGTGATCAGTATACTGGGGTCTTTGCTCGGGAGACCTCTTTACCACAGGTTGAATTGGTTTCAAGAGTTCCAGAGGATTCTTGCTTAGCTGAATTTAGCATAATGGAGACCCATATCTTCGAGCTACTGCAAGGCATTAATCCCTCTAAGGCTTCCGGTCCTGATTCAATTCATCCGAAGCTGTTGCATGAATTGGCCACTGAGCTGAGTGGTCCGCTCACATGCGTGTTTTCAATATCGCTGGATAGCTGCAGCCTACCTTCGGAATGGAAGGAGGCAATCATCTGTCCGATTTTTAAGGGCGGTGACAGCGCTCTACCCGCGAACTACCGGCGTGTCAGTTTGACAAGCGTAGTAGTCAAGTTGTTTGAAAAGCTGATAAGGGATTCAGTGGAGAACCATCTGAATAGATTCAACCTTCTCAGTGATGCGCAACCTGGATTCCGCAAGGGATTTTCATGTCAGACTAATTTACTTGTAGCTCGTGAAAGCTGGGCCGAAGCGGTCGACAGTGGCCACGCTGTAGACGTGCTATTCGTAGATTTTTTGAAAGCTTTTGATACTGTTCCACATCTTCGGCTCTCACTAAAATTGAGATCTTACGGGATATCTGGTCGCGCCCTTCAATGGGTGTCTGCCTTCCTTGAGGGGAGGGGACAGTGCGTACGGGTGGGGCATAGCCTTTCGCTCAAGCAAGCTGTCCTTAGTGGCGTTCCGCAGGGATCGGTATTGGAGCCATTGTTTTTCGCGATCTATATAAATGACTTGTCGGGAGAGCTAGGGGTGTCATCACTAATGTTTGCTGACGACCTTAAGCTCTGGAATATTGTGGATATCCCGGGGGGTCCTGAGGCAATTCAGCGTGCCTTGGATAGGCTCTGGGAATGGTCTACCTTATGGTTGATGCCCATAAATAGGGCCAAATGTTCTGTTCTCCGAATCGGAGCTGCAAATCCTCCCACCCGATATGTTGTCGGCGGTGGTGAACTCCCTGTTGTCACTCAGCAGGTTGATTTAGGAGTCGTACACGCATCAGCACTTTATTCTGGAGACAACTGGAAGAAGGCTGCTTGTCGAGGGTTTCGTATGATGTGGTTTATCCGCCGCTCTTTCGGAATCCTAACTGCCAATTTGTTTGTGAGGCTATTTTCGGCATTCGTACGACCCCACCTGGAATATTGTATTCAGGCTTGTCCACCATGTCTTAACCGAGACAAAATGGACTTGGAGAGGGTGTTACGAGTGGGCACTCGGTTAGTGCAGGGTCTACGGGGACAGACGTATCCTGAACGTTTGCTCAGTTTGGGGATGTACTCAATGCACTACCGAAGGATAAGAGGGGACCCGATTCTCACTTATCGTATTTTGACGGGTAAGATTGGCCCGGACTTGTCAGGGCTATTTAGTCCCGCTACGTTACCTAATCTCCGCGGTCACCCGCTGAAACTGCATAAGCCACGGTCTGATAGGACTAGGACGGAAACTCGTTTATCGCGCCGAGTTATAGATCGCTGGAATTCGCTTCCAGACCACGTGGTTAGGGAACCTACAGTTAAGGGTTTTGCGCGCCAGCTCGATGCTCTTGGGTGGCAACAGCAAACCTTTCCTTTTTCCTAGCCGACTCCTTCACTTTTCAGTTATTTTTTTAATGACTCAACTATCTTGGTATTCCACTTGCTTAGCTCTTTCCACTTTCTCTTTTGCCTTCTGAGTTTACTTTTTTTCTTACTTCACGTAACCGACCCAGCAGGGAGCGCTAGGGCAGGATACGTGGGCATTAATTGGTTGGACAGGGTGTGATGCGGTCTTTGTTTTAGGTCCATCTGTATTTCAAAGTTCGCCAACTTCTGGTTCAACGACCCGCCGAAGAAGGAACACTCACGGGATAATGCTATCGTTCCAGTCCCGCTTGAACTTGAACTTGTCTTCTCAAGGTCCTGTACACCTCTGTTTTTTCCGTTGTGGATAAACGTGCTTGCCCCGTGTCTGCTCGTTTTGCTCGTGTCACGGTTGCGTATTGTGATTCTGTGAGTGCCCGCTGGCTGCGTGTGATTCTCACGTCGTGTGTCCGCTGTGATTGACTCCGTGCTGCTTTCCACCGCCGTTGATTTGTTACGTGCCGTTTTCTAGCTCCCACCGATACCTCACTTCAGGGACTTCGTTACACTTCTGTCTCGCGGGGGAAGGGCTGATTTTTGTCATGGCGGGAAAGCGTTCAGCTACCATGGTCCGCTATGGATAAGAAGCCTGTGAACGTCTTTTCAAGTTGCTCTACCACAAGTATTTATCGTAGAATACGACGAGTTGAAGATGACATACAGAGAGAAGTGCAAGGAGTTATGTCATTACAAGGTATGGTTTTAGCGACCGTTGAAGATCACTGGTTGCATATTCGTCAAACGTTACTGTCCGCAGGCGTGTCTTCATGTGGTAAAGCAAATTGCCAAACCGGACACTGGGTCTCTACACAGTCTATGGAACTTATGGATGCTCGCCGACGTATTCCGGCTGGAAGCGAATACAATGAGGCTCGCAAAAATCTCAGGGCAAGACTACGGGCTAGCCTGAAGAAGGACCGCGAAACCTGGTGGTCTCATCGTGCCTCTGAGATGGAAACAGCCGCTGCCGTTGGTAATCATCGTAAATTATTCCGTCTGATACGGGAAACAGGCAGCAGGAGACCTGGTGTTAGCGAGACCATACGCGACGAGAGTGGGCAGCCGATCCACAGCTTGTCAAAACGCTTGGAGCGTTGGGCCGAACACTTTGCAAGGCAATTTAACAAACCTGCGTTATCGCTTTCTTCTTCGGGCATTGAGCGCCCTTCTCCTTGGGCCGTCTCCTCGGATCCGCCCTCACGCGCAGAGGTCGAACGTGAGATCCGGCTGTTGAAATTGCGTAAGTCCTCAGGAGCAGATAGAATTCCCCCAGCCCTCTTCAAATTCGGGGGACCTGCTCTAGTAGATGATCTACACGAGTTGCTATTAAGACTTTGGGAGCAGGAGACAGTCCCGACAGACTGGAACCGCTCCATCATTGTCCCAATTTTCAAGGGAGGCTCTCGATTGGAATGCGGCAATCATAGAGGGATCAGTCTGATTTCGATTGCCTCTAAATTGCTTGCCTCTGTCATTCTCCACAGATTGACTGGCACTCGTGAAAGCCAGATTCGGGAAGAGCAAGCCGGATTTCGTCGAGGTCGGGGCTGCATCGACCACATCTTCACATTGCGTCAAGTGTTGGAGCACCGCCATGTTTATTGGCGACCCACCGTCGTCGTGTTTCTTGACATAAAAAGTGCCTTCGATTCGGTCGATCGATGTGCCCTTTGGGACTATCTGCGGAGGAAAGGTGTGCCTGATAAATATGTAAACATTATCAAAGCACTGTACGCGCATAGTTCGGGCAGGGTGAGGGTTTATGGCAAACTCTCGCCACCCTTCAGTATCACCAGCGGCGTGAGACAAGGATGCCCGCTGTCACCTTTCCTCTTCAACTTCGCTATTGATGAAGTCATAGAAACAGCGTTCGCTGGACACGACCTAGATGGTGTGGAGCTACTTCCTGGTGAGCGACTTCTTGACTTGGAGTATGCGGATGATATTGCTCTAATCTGTGACAGCCTCCAAACATGCCAAAGAGCACTGGACCGATTAGCACTGGCTGTCAATCGTTTTGGGCTATGCTTTGCTCCATCGAAATGCAAAGTACTTCTCCAAGATTGGCAGGGACCCAATCCTGCGCTAACGCTTGGTGGTGATCTGCTAGAAGTCGTTCAGGAATTCAAGTACCTGGGCAGCTATATTAGCACCCGTGGGATTGAAGATGAGGTTACGAACCGCATAGCAAAAGCTCGAGGTGCTTTTGCCAATCTCCGCCACCTGTGGCGCAGACGCGACATTACTCTCGCCCTCAAGGGCAGAGTTTACAACGCAGCCGTCCGTTCTACTCTCTTATATGGCTGTGAAACCTGGCCCATCAGGTCGACTGACATGAAGAGACTCGTCACATTCGATCATCGCTGCCTTCGCAGCTTAGCTCATGTCTGGTGGGAACACCGCGTGAGCAATGAGCGTGTTCGACGTCGCGTATTTGGTGCAGGAAGAGCGAGTGAACCGCTCAGCATCATTATATCACGCACCAGGCTCCGATGGCTGGGCCACATGTTGCGCATGCCAGCACACCGACTCCCGCGACGTGCATTGTTTGCGCGTTGTGGGTGCGGTTGGAAGAGGAGGAGGGGAGGCCAAGTGATGACTTGGTTGAGAGGAATGAAAACCCTCACTTCGAAGTTGGCGTCGGTTGGTGCATCCCGACTGCCTGGTTGGGGCCCTAAGGACGATGAACACGTTTGGTTGAGAGATCTCTCCCCGGAAGATCGGATCAAAATGAAAAAAGCCGTTGATGAGCTGAGGACCCGTCGGGCGAATGGTGAAACGGACCTTCATATCGCGGATTTTCAGGTAGTTCGGAGAACTCCAAGAACCCGTTGGAGACCGATTTTTCTCACCCCAGGACAGTAACGCAAAAGAACGGACTGCGTGTGCTGTTCGCTAATGTTCGTAGTCTGCGAAATAAACTTGATGAGATCCAGACGCTTGCCGCAGATGTTTGTCCTGATTTAATGGCCTTCACTGAAACATGGTTATTCCCTGACATCATTGACTCTGAAGTATCTATCCCTGGATACCACCTTTCTCGGGCCGATCGTCATGGGAGAAAGTCGGGAGGCGGCGTGATACTATACTGGAGAGCGGATCTGAAGTCCCATCTAGTTGAGGTCTCGTGTGACAATGACAGCGATTTTGATGCCCTCTGGTGTCGCATTCATGACGGGTGCAGATCTTCTTTGATTGGTGTCATCTACAGAGCGCCACTGGGCGCGGGAGCTCGCCTGTTGGAACTGATCAAGAAGCACGGTGCTGGAAAGGACTGTCTTATTCTGGGAGATTTCAATGCTCCTAATATCGACTGGGAATTCTTTCTTTGCAATCGTCCACCTGATTCCTTCGATGCCGCTTTCCTTGATACCATTCTCGACTGCAGCCTGTATCAACATGTGTCCATGCCTACTCGCATTCTCGCCGGCCAGTCGCCTCATATCCTGGATCTTGTGCTCTCCCCAGCGCAGTCAGACGTCATGGACCTAACAGTCTCCCAACCTATTGGTAAAAGCGATCATTGTACTATTTTATTCCAATGGACTCGTCGCTTTACCGTTCACAACTCATGTGCCGTTCGCCGAAATTTCTGGCGTACCGATGCCCTTCGTCTTAAAACGGCTGCAAGCAGTATGGATTGGTATATCCCCGAACAGCTCAATGTGGACGGTGCCTGGAACCTTCTGTACTCCAAGCTGACATCACTCATTGAGCAAGTTGTCCCCATTTCCAAAAAGCGACCGTTCTCTAGAGGCCCTCCATGGATCGATCGTGATCTGAGATCCCTAATGAACAGAAGACGTAAGTTGTGGGACCGCTTTAGGATCACGCGGTCAGAGCATGACTACATCAGTTACAAAACGGTTAGGAATACCTGTACCCTGCAAAAACGTGAGAAACGTCAACAGTATGAACTCTCTCTAGCCACACTTTCTAGAAACACTCCTAAGACGCTTTTCTCCTACCTCAAACGGAGTACTAGAGCGGGCAGTGGTATCCCTGCCCTGTGTTCTTCCGAACATGAGGAGCCAGTTCACGAAGACACCGACAAAGCCAGCCTCCTGGCTCGGCAATACTCTTCAGTGTATTCAACCTCAGCGTCTTTTACTGACAGAACAGTGTGCACTCCCCCTTCTCTGTTAGAGCACGTCGATATTAACACTGACGTCGTGTTGAAACTTCTCTGTGCGTTGGATCCTTACTCATCGCCTGGTCCTGACGACTTGCACCCTTTGTTCCTCAAGACTGTGGCTCAGTACATTGCTACACCTGTCACGCAGGTTATCCGTCGATCGTTTCAGTCCGGACTTCTCCCGACCGCATGGAGAATGGGCATCATCAAGCCCATATACAAAGGAGGGAACCGGCAAGACCCTGCTAGCTACCGGCCCATCTGCCTTACATTGATAGTGTGCAAAATCATGGAACGGGTCCTGAAAACGGCGCTTCGACTTCATCTCGAGCGGTTGAATCTGATATCCAGTGCCCAACATGGTTTACGCAAAGCTCGCTCCTGCTCTACCAACTTGCTTCTGGCTAGAGAAAAGTGGGCAAATTCATTGGATGTTGGCAAACGCATGGATGTTGTGTTCGTGGACTTCAGTAAAGCTTTTGATAAAGTCCCTCATGAACAGCTTCTCTACAAACTCAGAGGAATCGGTATCTCTGGAAACTTTCTTTCCTGGATTTCTGATTTCCTACACACTCGTTCCATGCTGGTGAGAGTGAACGAAACGTATTCCGATCCTGTTCATATGACCAGCGGTGTTCCACAGGGCTCCGTCCTCGGCCCCGAACTCTTCAACATCTTCATCAACGATCTACCGTCGGAGCTTCAATCGGATTGCTTGATTTATGCGGATGATTTAAAGATATGGAAGGAGGTATCCTCTCTAGAGGATGCTGATCGACTACAAGAGACACTCGATCTCCTGCACACTTGGTCGATTCAGTGGCATTTACCCATTAATCAAGACAAATGTTCCGTCCTGCCTATCGGCGCTCCTGAACCACTCGGCGCGTACCACATAGGTGGTTTCTTGCTAAAAAATGTTACATCAGAAAGAGATCTGGGCGTGATTGTTTCCCAGGACTTAAGATCCACTCAGGACACCATGAAGAGGGTTGCCGCTGCCTACAGAATGTTTCATGTCATCCGAAGAGCTTTCTGTCGCTTGACACCGGAACTCTTTAGACTTCTGTTCACCTCGCATGTGCGCCCGATTTTGGAATACGGTCTTCCTGCTTCTACCCCGCTTTCCAAATTTGAGCGCGACATGATCGAAAAGGTCCAACGGCGTGGATCGAAGTTTGTTTCCGAGTTACGTGTCCTGCCGTATCTCCTTCGGCTTCGGCAATTGAACATGTTTTCTATGGATTACCGCCGTCGGCGTGGGGACTTGATCTTTACCCGTCGTATCCTCAGGGGAGAACTGGGGAGAGAGTTGCAGGGATTCTTCCACCTCAACATCGGGAGTTCGACTAGAGGCCACCAATGGAAACTATTCAAGCCACGGAGGCTCAAAGTACGGTCCATTCTTGCTCTATCCACTCGCGTTGTGAATAATTGGAACCGGTTACCGCCGACAGCCGTTGATGCACAGACAGAGGATTACTTCAAACGACTGCTTGATACACACCTGTTGAATATGCCGGGATCGTGTTGCTTCAGCTACGAGTGCGACGGCCTCTCCGGAGTTCCCGTTGCGCAATGACGAGCATCCCAGCAATGATCGGGAAGCGATGGAGCTGACAAGGGATTTCCCCTCCTGCTCTCTACTACCCCAATGAACCCAATGAACCCAATGACACACTTGCTGATATGGCTAGGAGCCGGCACCAATGGCGTTTGTGTTGTGATTTCCTTTGCCCATCCCCTCCTGTTTAGTATCCCCCTCCAATCACGATCTCATCTGTTAGGCATAATATGATTCTCTTTTTACGGCAGCCAGCTGTTAGCTCTCCGGAACGATGTCCATCCGTTACTGGGGACTCAGCGGGCGTGCCACTGTTTTCCTTTTCTTGTCTTTTGTATTGCGGCACAATAGCTGAGGTGTTTTCCACCTCCAGCTAACGTGTAATGATGATGATGATGGTTTTAGCGGGATGTCTTTTCAGCTACACGCGAGATGATAAGTACTGTACCTACCGCACAATATGTGCATTCTTCGCGCCATGCTGTGCATGGACCTTTTACAGACGCAGTATCGGCTAATGTGTACGAATAATGAATGAATAATGTGTATAAATAATAATAATAATAACAATGTTGGAGTCATTCATCACACATGTAAATCGGATGTGCCTTATGCTTCCCCTTTCTTAAATCTACGTATGCAACTCATTGTATATAACAATATTTTTTAACCCGTCCAACCATTTTGCGTTCAGCGGAATCGGTTACCTTAGAGGAAGTTCTGCGTGACGTGGCTCTGGACGGAAGCTTCACTTTCACCCAGATTAACATCCTTTTGCGCGATCTTCGGCGTCTATATCCTAACTTACCGGTTGACGCTCGGGGCATTTTGAATACACCCCGTCGGTGTCCAGTGCGATTAATCAGAGGCGGCAGTTACATCCATATGGGTTTGCAGGATGCCATACGTGACGTGTTGCGCCGAACGCATTCACCTCGTCCGTC